AGAGAAAGTGAAAGGAATCACAAAAAAATTACATTTTTTTGGATATAAATAGAGAGAAAAAGATTAAAAAACATAAAAGGAGAACGAAAGGAAGAGAGAGAGAGAGAGAGAGAGAGAGAGAGGGGAGTGACAGTGAAAGAGACCACAAAGAAAAGTTGCACACATTTTTGGGGGGAAACAGACTTTGCAAGAATACAATGAGAAAAAAAGGAAAAGGAAAGAAATATCTACAGGGTGAGAGTAAGAGAGACAGAGAGGTAGAGGGAGAGGGAGAGAGAGAGGAAGAGGAAGAGAGAGAGAGAGAGAGAGAGAGAGAGAGATTCACAAAGACAAGCAGTACAAATTTTTTGGGGGAAAACAGGCTGAGCAAGAATGGAATAAGAAAAAAAGAGAAAAGAAGGAAATATCTACAGGGTGAGAGTAAGAGAGACAAAGAGGTAGAGGGAGAGAGAGAGGCAGATAGCTGGACATATATCCACCAAGATAGAGAAAGCCAAACCAAAAGAGCGAGATCGAAACAACAAGAAAAAAAAACTGTGAGAGTGAGAGAGAGTAAGAGAACAAATGCTTCACAATGCATGGCCAGAAAGCGCAATAGAACCAGACAGGTTAAAAACTAATGGCACAAAAAATGATATGGTGGTACGGATGAAGATAGATTTAGCTAGATATATATAAATAAAAACAGTAAGAAAGAAGAAAGCGAAAGAAAGACCGCAAGACAAGCAGGAAAACAAATTCACCAAGAGAGGGCTAAAACCTAAGAGTTCAGAGACATAATGAAGAACAGGGTGACATAGAAAGGAGCTGGAGGAAAGATTTGATTTGATAAAAGATTTATTTCTACAAATCTCGTTAAGACATTTTGACGTTTCTTACACTCAACAAGAAACGAACAGTTTACAATTTGAACTTACATGCCCTTCTAGATTATCATATTTATATAATAATAAAAAAATGTAAAAAAATAAGCTGAATGTGGAACAGTAATAATAACTAAATTAAAATTTACATTCATTTAACTGTAATAAATCAATAAAGAAAGAAATTATATAATTACAAAATTTACTAACAATTTTATAGATTACATACATATAAAATTAAATTTTCATCACCTCATTAAAAACTGTAATAAATCTATTAAGAAACAAATCCTGAAAAGAACTTACAGAGGGAGATGGGGTGAGGGAGAGGTAGACAGAGAGAGACTTAGTAAGGCAAAAAGGCAAAGAAGGAATAATCAGACAGATAAAGGAAGAACGTAAGAAAGAGTTTGTGTGTAAAACACAAAACGTTTTTGTGAATGGAAGAAGTTTTGTGTAGTATTTGCGTGTTTATTTACTAACTTAAAACACCGCATTTATAAAAGGGTTAAAGATCCACCCGAGTTATTTTGACGTATTGGGATTTTCATAATTTAAGCCGTTAGTTATAAACACTTAACTACGTGTAGCTCGCAAGTAATAATTCAATAACCGACGAACGGAAATAGCTTTTCGTTAAAGAGTGTTTTATTGTTGCGCAACGGGGGCGAATCGGCGCACACCAATTGTGGGATATCCCGTTGTAGCTCCCGGGCTCTTACATACTGCAATTTCCTTTCTATTGTTTGATTGTTCAACAGGCAACGAGATCAGTTCGAAGGATGCGAATTTCAAAGGTGGACGTCGTAGCATAAGCATAAAACATCATACAAAGTATTCGGTTCTTATGAACAATAGAACAAACAATACACAAGAATATATAATCTTTTTTGCAGAACTTTACAACTACTCTCAAATAGGCAATATATAACAATGAGAAAGAAAATACATACAAAGTTAAAAATAAGAATGGGGAAAATTCCCATTGGTAGTACTCCATTGATACTAAAGTGTTCTCTGTTTAATACAAGAGGCATTATCACTTCCACTATCGTCACCATCACTTCTTAGGAGATCTCTCGGCCGTCGTATCTTTAGTCGGCGAGGAGGGTTCGAGGAAATTGGTCGGGAAGCGAGGTTTCTGATATGCTGATTCCCGGGGGTTGGGAGGGTTTTGTGAAATTTGCGGTAACGGGAACGGATTCATTAAGACCTGAGGAAAGGGAGAGAGAAAACTAACAAAGCAGATAGCCAGAAAGTGAAATAAAAAGAGGCTGCTTGAGAAATAACAGCGTAAATAAAGATACGTAGGTAGATAAAAATTCGAGATGGAGATAGAGATACAGAAAAAGAGAGAGAGAGAGAGATATTCACAAAGACAAACAGCAGATTTTTTTTTGGGGGGGGGCTGCTTGCAGACTGTGCAAGAATGGAATAAGAAGAATGGGAAAACGAAAGAAATATTTATAGGGTGACAGTAAGAGAGATAAAGAGGTAAAGGAAGAGAGAGTGAGTGTGAAAGAGATAGCAAAGAAAAATTGCACAAATTGTTTTAGATATAAATAGACAGTAAAACATATAAAATGAGAAAGAAAAAATATAGAGATTCACAAAGACAAATTGCACAGATATGTTGGGGGAAACAGACTGAGCAAGAATGGAATAAGAAAAAAGGGAAAATAAAATAAATGTCTATAGAGTGAGAGTAAAAGAGACAAATAGGTAGAGGGAGATAGAGGAAGGAAAAGAGAGAGAGAGAGAGAGAGAGAGAGAGAGAGAGAGAGAGAGAATGAGAGAGAGAGAGAGAGAGAGAAAATGAGAGCCGAGAACGTTGCAAAAAATACAAAAATTAAATGAGAAAGAGAGAAATTGAGAGAGAGAGAGAGAGAGAGAGAGAGAGAGAGAGAGAGATCACACAGAAAAATTGCATTTTTTTAGATATAGACTGAGAAAGAGTAAAGCACATAAAATGAGAGCGAAAGGAAGAGGGAGAGAGATTCACAAAGGCAAACAGCACGAATTTTATGGAGGGAAACATACTGAGCAAGAATGGAATAAGAAAAAAAGGGATAAGAAAAAAAATGTCTATAGAGTGAGAGTGAGCGAGACAAAGAGGGAGAAAGAGAGAGAGAGAGAATGAAAGAGATTACAAAGAAAAATTGCATAAATTTTTGGGGGGGAAACAGACTGAGTAAGAATGGAATAAGAAAAAAAGGGATAAGAAAAAAAATGTCTATAGAGTGAGAGTGAGCGAGACAAAGAGGGAGAAAGAGAGAGAGAGAGAATGAAAGAGATTACAAAGAAAAATTGCATAAATTTTTGGGGGGGAAACAGACTGAGTAAGAATGGAATAAGAAAAAAGGGAAAAGGAAAGAAATATCTACAGGATGGGAGTAAGAAAGACAAAGAGGGAGTGAGGAAGGGAGAGAGCGAGAGAGAAAGAAAAGAGAGAGAGAGAGAGAGAGAATGAAAGAGATTACAAAGAAAAATTGCACAAATTTTTTGGGTGGAAACAGGTTGAGTAAGAATGGAATAAGAAAAAAGGGAAAAGGAAAGAATTATCTACAGGATGGGAGTAAGAAAGACAAAGAGGGAGGGAGGGAGGGAGAGAGCGAGAGAGAGAGAGTATAAAAGAGATTATAAAGAAAAATTGCACAAATTTTTTGGGTGGAAACAGGTTGAGTAAGAATGGAATAAGAAAAAAGGGAAAAGGAAAGAAATATCTACAGGATGAGAGTAAGAAAGACAAAGAGAGAGAGAGAGATATCACAAAGAAAAATTGCACAATATATTTTAGATATAAATAGACAGACAAAGTGCAAAAAACATTTAAAAAAAACATAAAATGAGAAAGAAAAGAAGAGAGAAAGAGTCAGTGTCAGTGAATGAGAGAAAGAGTTAGAGAATGTGAGTGCTTCAGTAAATGAATGAGTGAATGAGAGATAGGTAGATAAATAGAGAGTGAGAGAGAAAGACTCAAAAGATTAAAAAGGCAAGAAAAATAAAAAGAGAGATAAACAGACAATCTGATATTTATTCTAATATAAATCTACATTAGCATATATTATATATATAATCCAAGTGTAATTTATTAATACAGAACAAATGTTAACTCTCTCATCTCACAAATTAATCATTATCTGAATTATGAATTTACACAACTTAATTCCAGGATAAATAAGACTGGACTTATTTCAACTTGACTATTTACAGAATAAAAAAAGTCTAATAGATGAAGGAAATTGTTTGGTGAAAGGAGACTAATTCAATTTTACTTACATTTCAGATTCTCATAAAAAGAGAAGATCTCCGCCCTTTCTAAATATTTTAAAACTAAAAGCCGCAGAAACTTCAAAAACCGGATGATCTCACCGCGAAGGTATCTAAAATCCGAGGTTTAAATTTGACAGGAAAAATCTGTAAATACAGACACGACCTCGAATGCTTTTTACATTACTATGTACTTAAACGCAACGCGCTGTATAAACACGAAAATTTTAAGAATAAAACACTCTTTCGAAAATTTAGAGAAAAAAAATAGCAAAAAGACGGGGAAAAACTCAAGGTTGTAACTCAACGTCGGAAGTACAGATTTGGTTATTTGACACATCAAATTAACATAAATTCTCACGGATTGTATAATGGACCAAAGATACAACGATATCGATGTGAGAAATCCGACCCTCGCAGAGCGAAAATAAGCGGACCCTGAGATGGAATCAGACCTAAAAACAATAAACTAACATTCTGATGACTTAAAAATCCAATTCTGTTTTCTTAAAAGAAAAAAGAAACTATTTAGCAATTATTTATACCATTGATAACTACGATGTTTGAGTACTTATCTCGGTAAAATATTGTTTTATTGTTATACAAGTCTTGTAATTTTATTATTAAATAAGTAATTTTTTTTCTTATTCTTATTATTAACGGTAATGAATTTTTTTAATTAAAACTTAAATAATTTGATTGATTTGAAAATAAAAATGGGTCTTCGGCTATCCTAGTAAGTTCCAGGTTTTTCAAGTAGTTGCTGTATGACGCCTTTTCTGCGGACCACAGTTTATCTATTTATTTATAGAATATTTTCATCGTACCAATTGTTAATTATTTTAAATAAATGTTCAAAAAAATTACCGGAATCTTTGAGAATGGCGTTGACAGCAGCACAGAACTCGGCGTACGAGATGAAGGCGCGGCCTCTCGTGTCGAGCTGGTTCACCAGCTTGTCAGCTTCCACCTGAGGAAACACAGATCGCGTCAGACTATTCTTAAGAATATTCCCTTTTGAGAGGACTAGGAGGATGGTCAGGAATGGCGTGCATTCTCCTTTAGACCTTGCGATAAAAAAAAGCGATTATTTAAAATCCTCTTGCCTTGAACCTCTTTCCTGTCCATCCTTCACTTGCTCATATGCACACAAAGACAAAGATAAGCTGGAAAAATCTTATTTCAATCGTAGCAAACAAAACATTTGTTATGCCTAAAAATTAATTAGTTACGATTAATAAATACTCTACTAGCAATTTGTCCAGTTTGTTTGTGTCGTCTAGTTCATTTTTCTACCTCACCCTATACCCCCCTCACAGGGTGTCCTTTTTAAGATAGATGGCCTGGTAAATTTCTCTTGAGCCAATGACGCTAGCAAAATAACAAGAAATACTTGTTTAATATTTTTAGTCTATTTTTAAATTTTTACCTTTTTTACCTTTTTCTAATCAACACACTCCTAGCAAAAGAAGCACTCCAACAAAACCTGAACCTCATTACAGACTGGTGCAATCTGTGGCGGATCAGGTTAAACGAAAAAAAGCCTACAAGTTACGTTTACTCAAATGTCAAACCTGTCCACCAGTTCATATTTGCAACAAGATAATACCATCGAACCAAGTCCGCTACCTTGGGCTTTGCTTAGATAATAGACTTACTTGGGACCCACATTCAAGATTAACACGGCAAGAATTTAATAATATCAGACACTTACTTGTACCACAATCAAAACTAAGCACCACTCATCAGACCTATTTGGACCTACGGAGTGGAGCTGTGGGGCTCGGCAAAATCATCCACTATGCATAGAATTAATTAAGGTTTTTAGTTGAGATGAAAAAAAGTTAATGGCACGAGCGGGATTCGAACTCACGATGAGCAATCGTGCCTTCGATCCACTCGGACAATGGCTTCCCATCTCAACCCAACATTTCGAATTTTCCCTTCTTTTTGCCATTTTTCAACTCACGATAGCTCAAGTGGTAGAGCAGCGGCGTATCTAGCCGAAGATCGTGGGTTCGAATCCCCTCGTGCCATTAACTTTTTTTCATCTCAACTAAAAACCTTAATTAATTGTAATGTATTAATTGGTCAAGCGGACCACGAAATTAGGGAACTATGCATAGAATTCAATCTTTTCAATCTAAAGTTCTCCGCTCAATGCTCTTCTATGTCACCATTCAAACGATCCATAAAGATATTAAAATCCATTTCGTGAAAGATCTTATCCGAACACGATTCTTCACTTTCCACTCTAAACTAACCCTCCACCCTAACCCAAGCCCTATCTCTTTCCTCAACATCTTACCCTTACAACCTTCCGCGTCGTTTAAAACGACGATGGCCTCATGACCTTTTATCTTACCCACCGAATTAACTTTAACCCCCCCCCCATTTAAAAAAAAAAGAGAGTTCCCCTATATATGCTGACACATCATTTTAAAGGATGTTTTACGCTGAAAATAATTGTTCAATCGGATTTTAAACTGGTCAAAAAATTGTGTAAAGGTTATGGCAAAACATTTGGGGAAAAAACAGTAATTTGGTTTCCTTAATCATTAATCACATTTCATGTTCGAACTGCCTGCCTTGGGTAAAGATGCAAAGATTTCCTTTTTTAACCACTTTTCACCGCTGCTCAGAGCAATAGACAAGCATTTTCTAACCTTTGCCGGAGTTCTTCAGCTGAGATTGTTGGGTTATGTTTGGCGTAGATATTGTTTTTTAAATGGGCCTAAAGAAAAAAGACCAGTGGGGTTAAATCGGGTGACCGTGGAGTCCAACAGATCGGGCCATGTGGTCCTTTCCACCTATACCGGAAGTGACTTCAAATAACGTCCTGCAAAGAATTGTGTACGGGGCATCCATCTGGAAAATCGTTCTTTGTCGTTATTGCTGAGGAACATCATCTAATAGTGTTGGTAAAACCTCCCTAAAATTGAGGTGCTGAGCACCATTTTAATTATTTTCGTAGAAATAAGGCCCAATGAATTTATTTCCGAGGTCCAAACCGAATTGATACTGTGGACCACCTGTGATGACAAGAATACGAAACTCTCGTATTTTCTTCTGCCCACGTTCGAAAATTCCAACGGTTTAGCATGCCACAGGATGTGTGGAAGAAGGTTTTCTTCAACCTCCCAAATCGACATTTGTGCAAGGAACGTCAGACGCCTGTCATAATCAGAGTCCCGAAGTCCCTGGACAAGATGAGAGCGATGCGACTTAAATGGTAAGTCCGGAGGACATTTCTTATTTTATTTTATTTTTTTTTTAACTTAAAACCCTTCCAACATTTCGGAGAGAGGAATTCGGATTTTCGCGACCATACAGTAAAATATTCAACTACTCGTCGAAATTCTTTTTGCCATAACTTTGTCATTTTATTGACCAATTTAAAATCCGATTGCACCATTGTTTTCAGCGTAAAAAAAATCCTTTAAAATGATGTGTCAGGATATAGGGTCGTATTTATAATTTTGAAGTTGAGCTCCGCCTGAGGTGCCCTGTATAATTTACCAAAAAAAGGTTATTTTTTTGTAGCGTCATTTGTTCAAGAAATTTCAGCTGGGCTATCTAAAAAGGACACACTGTATAATGCATGTAATATATACATTTCAATGTTAGTTTGTGAGACTTGTATAGTAGACAAAAATCAAGTGGACAATTTTTTTGACCATGAAATAAACTCAAGATTTAATATAAATTAAGCATAAGATTAAGGATATTTAATAAAATATATTAAAGGATTGGAATTTCACGTACACCCACACATGTTCAGAGTCAATCATTTCTCGCAGTCCATCACAATTCCAATTTTAATAATTTACAAAAAATTTCCACCATGTCTCGAGAATCACCCACCCCGCGAGTTGGCAATCGTGGTGGTTGGGTTATGGCATAGCAGTTTTCTTCATAATATGTCGAATATTAAACATTATACAAAAGAAAATAAAAAGCGGACTTTTCCAACTTTTTATTTACAAATAAAAGTTTAAAAAATTAAATTAAATTATTAATGAGGTGCTGTAGAAAAGTCTCCCAGCTACTAGTCTCTTTGTATGCATTTCAAACAGTGTAGTGTCATGTTAATGACATAGTGTAATAGATCACAATTAATTAAGGTTTTTAGTTGAGATAGAAAATTCAATGGCACGAGCGGGATTCGAACCCACGATCTTCGGTTTGATACGCCGCTGCTCTACCACTTGAGCTATCAAAAAGGAGGGAAAATTCAAAAAGGTGCGGTTGAGATGGGAAGTTGGTGTCCGAGTGGATCGAGGTTACGATAGCTCAAGTGGTAGAGCAGCGGCGTATCAAGCCGAAGATCGTGGGTTCGAATCTCGCTCGTGCCATTGACTTTTTTATCTCAACTAAAAACCTTAATTAATTGTGATATATTAATTGGTCAAGCGGACCACGAAATTAGTGAATATAGTGTAATAGTTTTTTAATGAAAAGTTTCACTCAACTCAGTTGTATTTTAGCACTTAATGTAAATTTTAAAAATTTTGTGTTTGTACACATTATTTTTTATTTATTTTTTGGATAAGAACATTTAATTTCTTTATTTGATTTTGTTCAGTTCAGGAAATCATGAATATATACAAACTTAGTTAAAATCCATTCACTACAATGAAGTTCCCTGTAATTTTTTTACTGGTTTTAAGTAATATTTCTTTCCAGAGCTCGCTGGTTTTTACATCTTTTCATGCACCGTAGGAACATTTCGAGTACTGCCATCCTATCCAAGGTCCAGGGTATTCAGGTATTTTGCTCAACAGTTGGATTCATAGGAAGAGCGGCTAAAAAGCTGCGCTCTCTGACCATATGAGCGCAGGCTATGGAGAATGAGGAGCATAGTTGTTAGGAAGAGGAGTTTTCTCGGGAGCTGTTTGAACTAAACTGCGTCTTCTTAGTATACTCTGCATCCTCTTGCCCCCAGTACTACACCCAATACCTCACAGAAATTTTTGCACCATAGGTCCATGAGGGTTTCAGCATAGGCTATATTTTTCCGGTTTGACATCTGCCGATGAGCCCAGTTTCATACGCCACTGTCATGACTACGGATGGATACATCCTTGGTGCAGCAACGCTATCCTTCCAGATATCCCATCGAGTAACCAGTGGCGAGTTTCAAGGGCGATCTGATATCCCGAGTTGGATGGAGGCCGCTGTAGGGCTGCGTAGGATCTTCGGGAGGTTCTCTGGGCACTGGGAAAGGTCCGTGAGGAAGTGTCTCTATGCCGGTCCCATAATCATCTCCGATCATCATTCTCGCTTAGTATTGCCTATCAAGCACTCCCATCAGTAGACGGCCGGACATGTTTTACGATTTTTATTCAGTACTGTTATTTTATACCTGTCACTATAAAGTAATTAAATATTTCAACTTTAGCAAGCAAAAATTAAATCCACAGACATTTTCAGTTAAATATCAACAACTTAACGCACAACTGGACAGAACACAGTTATAATATATTTTGTTTAAAATTACTTCAACCAATTTTGTTGAAAAATTCACAAAATTGAAGAAAATTATGGCAAATCATAATTGTCTTGTCCCTTCCAACATTATTTTTGCAAGTATCTTGATTTTTACTGGTTTATAAACGAACCGAACAATGACAAATGTTAAAAAATAATTAGTCAATAGAGGGGTTCTTCATAATTATTACAAAACTCATGGTTCAAATTAGTGCTAATATCCTTTGAGAATACTAATTAAAAGGTTAGTTTATTTTAAAATCTCTATACAAAAAAATTATTTATTTATTATTACAAATGAATTTGATGAATTTGAAATAATGAAAAAATGGTATCAAGTTACGCTATGATCATTTGTAAAAAGCCACATAAAAATATGAAAGTATATATAAAAAAAATATATTTGTTGTTTCAATAAATCATTTTATTTTTATTTTTTCAAAATAAAAAATAAATTGTTTTAATGTTAGAATTTTATTT